TAAGAGAAAGATGAAATAAGAATGAAAAACTCTTCTCTTGTGTTTAATTGCTTTAATAGTTGTTCTCTTACTTCTTCAAGTGTCCTCAGCTTGTATTTATAGCTTGAAATGAGTTTAAAGTCGTATAAAGCCGTTGGGATGTTTTGGAGCCATTTGGGGATTATTTTTCTGTAAAAATAGTCTACCCATAACAGGGGGTATCGCTACCCCTTAATAGGGTATTGATACACCTTCATTAAATTCAAATTAAACTAGTTGTTGTAGCCAGAGTGTATGGATATACTGCAGGGTGTATTGGTACACCAGTGTATGGATACACTCATAGGGGTATCAATACCCTTTTTGCATTCGGTATTTGAGCAGTCATAGGTGTATGGATACACCTGTCGGGTGTATCAGTACACCAGTGTATGGATACACTGTAGGGTGTATGGATACCCTTTAGTATTTTTTCTCAAATTCGAATTTAATGGACTTTGAATTATTTTTTAAACCTTTTTAAAACTATGAATAAATTCAATTCAAGTCCAAAAACATTTTTCCTTAAATTTGTTATATCGAAACATAATTCAACAGAAACACTTGGCATCTTCGGAAAGTCGATTAAGTACTTGAGGACTGACATTTTCAAACTCTTCATCTCTATCAATTAAGCAACCCTCTACTACATGTTAAATAACCCTCTTTACAGGTTAAGCAAGCCTCTATTACAGATTAAGCAACCCTCTATAGGAAGTTAGACAACCTTTTCTTCTTCGTTGGTTAAATAATATTCTTTGTTGTAGTTATCTCTATGGATAAGCAATCATCTGTTGCAATGTTGAAGACGTCAAGTGCTCAAATTGATTTTTTGAAGACACCAAATATTTTAGCCGACTTCTGACGTGTACTATTCATTACACTCTAATTGAGAGGGGCATGACTTTTGAAAAGAATATTTTCATAAATGTACCTATTGGTATGTTATTATCCAAAAAAAGCCCTTTGAAGGAAGATCTTTTTAAAGAGAAATGTCTTGGACAAGTTGATATTAAAGGGATGAATTTTGAGGACAAATCAACAACGTTTGAGTGGAATGACACCTTGGAGAAGTCACTTTTCGATTTAAGGACAAATCGCTTAAAAGAAGGGGATGATGTGAACTGATTCAGCATCATATTCATCCTTGCATCTCCAACATTTCATAAAATTCAAAGGGAGATTTTCTCTAACTTATTCTTTTTCTACATTATGTTTATGATGATTATATTCATAATATATGATTCATATTTCATTTTTTATGACATGGATATATTTATTTATATATGTTATATATATAGTTATGATAATAATATTCATTCATTATCATATAATGCATGAGTTATTATTATAACCTATAGTCCACATATTTATATTATATGCTTATTATTTTAATTACTTAGCTTATACTATGTTTCATTGTGAAGGTACATAGGCAACCACATATTGGGAGCTGACTTAAGCTAGCAAATGGAGTCCAAAGCTATGAGAATATAAGTAAGACAACTCCGGGGAAGCTAAGGATCAATTTGGAGAAAAGTTGTCAATGCACTCCGAGCACATAGCTGCCTTGAGCTGAAATTTTGAGCTAGCTAGGCTAATCAATTCAGCTGGGGAGCTACACCATCATCATCACCCATCAGAGTAAAACAAATATGAGCCAAGTTAAATTTTCACAAATCGTACCTTTTCGAGAAAAGGTACCTTTCCAGGAGATGACTTTTCGTAAGTAGCTTCCAAAAGATTCATCATGATACAACTCACCTTTGGCCAGCTCACTTTCAGCTCAATCACTTTGGAACTAGCTCAATCATGAAATGTTACCTTCCATACATTGTGATCTTTCGTGAAAGTTGTTGTCCATGAATATGCCACAACACTTAGGTGCACGTTGGTGAAGAGATCTCATTAAAAGGAGGCTTAATTCTCAAAGAGGTATGAGGCAAGCATCACGTCTATTCGGCCATCCCACACATGCCATGCATATGGAGGCTTTGGCGCCAATAAGAACAAGCATCTCACCATTCGGACAAGGAAGGTTCCATGCATGCATTGGTCGAATCATAAAGTCCCTTCATGAATAAATAGTCGAATCATCACAAGCCTTTATAAGACATGTTCATTCATTCATTAAATATGTATTTTCAAATGAATCATGTAATTAGCCAAATGGACACATAGCTATTAGGCCAAGCCTTCCAAATCCTATAAATAGGAAGGCTTATTTCATTTGTAATTATCTCATTCAATTTATGAACTTTCTTTATGAGTTAAATCTCTCTTCAAAGTTCTTTGAGAATTATATCGATTAAGCAAGTATAATTTTTATACTTGTGGCGTCATTCACTTCACCTTGATACTTATAATTCCAAGATCATATATCTAGAGGGTTTAAGTCCTTCTTACCACCCATTTATTAAGTTTATAAAGGTTGGGGTTATATTCTTTAGTATAGTTTCTTCTTTAACTTAATTAAGATACTATCCCTTTATCATCTTCCATTGTCGTTCATACAACAACATCAAGTCATCTTCATCATCAACATCCATTGAAGGCCACCATTATAACTATCAACTTCTGCACCAACTCTATTTCTATCTCTATTTTATTTCATTTCCATTTACTTATCTTCATTATTTTATATATTCTAATATCATTTCTATCTTTTCTTATTTGCAACCATACTTATAAATTCAGGAGCAATACTTGTTATCATTTCCTAGATCGGGACAATACAATAAGGCTATCTATTATATTCTCCATTGAATGTTGTGGATAGACTTATATAATTGACAATGTGGTTATGTCTTGAAGCAAATTAATAGACCATGAAGGTAGGTTGATGTCTATAAATTTGTTGTTTATATGGAAGGCGATCTAATGTGCTTATATGGCAGGGGATCTAATGTGGTTATGTCTAGTGAATAGTATTATATGTGTAGTATGGTGAGTCTCTATGCTAGATTTTCAATGTCCAATTTTAACGGTGACGTGTTCCGTTATGTTTTCTCCTGGTTGTATCGACATGGTAGATGGCTATATATCTTGGGGTATGTTTGGAATAGCTTGGAAGTATGGATGATCAAAATACATGAACCCGATAGGTTTCGATCTGACCCGACCTTAAAGGGTCGAGTTTTTTTTGTGTGAAATTTCGGGGCTAAGGTAGGGCAAGTTATATGGTATAAAATTTCAGGGCGGGTCAGGGCTGAGTTTAAGGTGAAAATCACCGACCCAACCTAACCCGATTAATTTTTATTTATATATATTATATTTAATATTTTAAGAATTTTATTTTTATTTTATTAAAATATATTATTTAATTGTTAAAAAGATAAAATATATTAATTTAATAATTTAAAATATAATAAATATTTATAAATATATTATTATAAATATATTATTTTAATTATTTTTAAATATTAATATATTTAGATTGGGTTGAGGTCGGGATTTTAGTTTAAAAATTGAGACAGGTCTAGTGCGAAAAAATCCTAAAATTTACCGGGGCAAGACGGAGTCGGGTTTTAGGAATATATTTTTGGGTCAGAGTTGGGTTCGAGGCGGCCAAAAAACAACCCACCCCGCTCCATGCACACCCCTACTTAGAAGCCCGTTTCAACATAGATTATGAGTTCCTTTCCTGTTCTCCTTAATGTAGCTTATAAACACCCCTAGTTACTCGTTAAGAATTGTTTCGTATTATTTCGTAGTAATTGAACATTCTTTTTCCTCCATTTAAGTATAATGAGATACATGACTACCTTATGGATTTGTATACTTGTAACATATCAAATTTTGGACTAATAGTTTCAGGTTTATTCGAGAGATATGTGGACCCGTGAATTTTATAATTTATGTTAAATTGGGCGTGGGATTCTCCCACTTTGCCTTCTCTTTATCCTTCCTCATTTCTTTCTTCATCTTCTTCCTTCATAGCATGCCTTAGCTTAAGGTAAGTGATTGTGGATTCTCCCTTACTCTCTTCAAAATTCGTCCAAACACTCACCTCTTAGAATTTGTTGATTTTTTATCTTGTATGTTACAATACTATTTTAATAAAATTATATAAAATATTTTAAAAAAAAAAGAAAAATTATATTGTAGTGTGAAAATGATATTTAAGTTTACAAATGCATGAATTGATTTCTTTCATCCCAAATTTAAAAAATAAGAATTGTCATTAAGGATAATGAGTGTTACTTTGGGGAAAGATGAATTTTTATATGTTTTCTTTTATCATACTCTAAAATAATAAAGTCAATATATCATCACAAATAAAATAAAATGTTTATAAATTAAAAGAGAAATTTCGACACCATTAATAATAAGTATCACTAAATATAATTAATTTAATTTATAATAATTTAAAATTTAATGTATAATTATAAATTAAAATATTAAAAATAAATTATTTAAAATAAAATATTAATTATATTATTTTTATAATTTTTAAAGATAAATTATAAATTCTTTTTTATTATTAAAAAATTATGAAAAAATATATAATAATTATTTTATTTCAAATTTTAACGTATAATTATAAATTAAAATATTTAAAATAAAATATTAATTATATTATTTTATAATTTTTAAATATTTTTAAAGATAAATTATAAATTCTTTTTATATTAAAAATTATGAAAAATATATATAATAATTATTTAATTTTAAGTTTGTAATTAATTTATAATTATATGTAAAATTATATGTTGAATCTTTTAATTTTAATTATATATATAAAATTAATAATACTCCATGATATTCATCTTTAGTTACATTCAACTTTCGTCAAACGTAACAAATTCATTCTATTTAAAAATACAAAAAAAAAATTATCTCATATAAATTGTAATACGAACAATTTAAAACGCAAACTATACATTGCATTGAAATATCAATTACCACTACAAAGTAAAGATTAGCAACTTGTATTATCATATGATTAAGTACTTAATAACACTAATATCAAGCATTAGAATAATAATAGCAACTCATTCCCTTGATACCCCCTATATACAAAGCTTGAGCTTTCTTTTAAAAAAGGATTTCTTCTATTATCAAACCCAATCCATATTCGGAGCCCCGTTTTTGTTTTTAGTTAACCAGATCAGAAACCCAATCCAAATCCGGAGCTCCGGTTGAATGACCAGGGTTAACCCGCTCCAAAGAATTCTCTTTACTCAGCTTCTCAAACATCTTTGCACGTAAATCACGTCCTGACTCGACTCGTTCCATCACCGGCTCTTCTTCACATACTTTATCCCATGTATCCAAGTAGCCAATCCCGGGAAGGGTGGCGTTCCGGGTCGGAGTACTGGGTAAGCTGCAGAATCCGGGTCGGATCAATGCCGATCTAGGTGACCCGAATCCGGAAGGAGACGAAGGTGATCCACAGCCAACTTGGAAGGACTTGACTTTACCGAGCTGCAAGTTCCTCAAAGAAGTCAGCATCTCGGTAATGGAAGCCGAGCCGAGTGAACGGCTCAGCGACTGAGCCATCGGCGAAACCGGAGGCGATGACTCGGCACGCGGACTAACCGAAGGTGAACCGGAACGAGGGGAGGACCAAAACGTCATCGTTTTAGCACAAGAAGGTGAAGAACCGTCGTATGAATCAGCAGAGCTAGAGGTCACGACACGGAGCTGATCCGGGGTGTGAGCGAAGAAACAAACCCGACAACCCGACCCGTCTTTACACGGCTGAGTCCGGTAACGAGCTGGGTTGAGCCAACACTCAAAAACGCCGTGAGCTAACTCGCAAGTCTCTCCCTTTCGACAGTTCCCTTTGCGGAAATCGGGGCAGGCCGTACCCGAGTAATGATACTTTCTCGGGTCGCGCCTGCGAGCTTTCTCGCCTGGATGGGCGTACGGACACTCTGTCCAGTCATGAGACCGGCCACGAGCGCACTTCCGGACCTTGAACTCAAACATCCTGAAATGATCGCAGGAGTAAGCATCCACCGGAGAATCCGGACCATCCGGACCCGGGAACTCGGAATCCAACTCGACGTCAGGTTGGTTCGATGGCAAGTAACGTTGTAACGCTGAAAACGCTTCCTGGAGGTAAAACGAGTTGCCGTTACCGTTGAAGTCGTTGTCTACTGCATTGTAATTGATGGGGGAGTAAACGACGTCCGTCTGATCCTCATCGAGATGAGACCAGGGTGGCACGTGGACGGTTGGATTAAAACGATGGGCTTCTCCAACCATCATATTTTTTGGGTGTTGGATTGTAAGATTTGTATACGGAAATACAGGCTGGGTTTGGATGCTTATAAGCTGAAGCTGGGACTGGAAAGTAAGCTGTTTTACTGTGGTTAGTTTTAGATTAACCGTGGTTCTTTAAAAATCTAGGAGCTATTCTATCTTTATTTATATATATATATATGTATATATTAATGTCTCCAATTAATTGAACATCAATTTAATAAAAAATAATTAATTAAATAAAGTTTATGAGTATATTAAAAGAGACCTTTTTTTCAACTAATGAATTCACATTTTTTGTACTGAAAGTTATTTGTTATAATATTATTAATATTTAATTTACAATTAATTAACTAATTTAGTTTTTTTTATTAAATTTATAATTAAATTTAATTGATGTATGATGTAAAAAATCAAAATTAACCAAACCAAAAACCGATAATTTTTAAAAATATATATAGAACCAAACCGAATCTAATATACCCCTACTCACTATGGGAGAATTAATTTTACTAGATAGAACTCTAGGTTCTAATGGGATAGATCCGTTGCGGTAGACTAAAAAACGGTTAAAATAAAATGTTACCAATTTTGTTATTATGTTAAATAATAAAATCGGTAAAAATTATCGGAAACATTATTAAGTGATACATATTTTGTTATTATTGAGTGTTTTTTTACCGGATTTTCAAAAAAAAATACCGGAAATATTATTAAATTTAAAAAACGACCAGATTAACATAATATTTTAGGTAATTACCGGAAAAAATTAAGTAATTTTTATTGATTTTATTATTTAAACGATAATAAAACTGATAACGTCTTATTTTAATCGTTTTTAAGCATGACGCACTACAACTTTCCAGATTTTAAAGGGATAAAGATGAAATAATTGTTATTTTTCTAATAAAGTTAAAAAAAATAGTACAATTATAGTACAACTGAACCTATTGATAAATTTCCATCTACTCCTCTGACAGAAAAAGGAAAAGAAAGAAAGCCTTATTCTTTAAATTTTCCTTAAAATTGAAAATAATTTAACTACTTCATGTATGTACAATATTATTCACTCTAGGTAGATGAATTTGATGAGTTGGGTGGACCTCCATACTACCTTTTAAATTTTCCTTATTAATTTGATTTCAATTGGTTTAGATTTAAATATTTTAATTTAAATTATTTAAGGTATGAATCAATCAAGGTGATAAAAGATGTTATTCCTTAAGATCTTGGATTCAAACAACATAAATATCAAGAGAATAAACGATTAATGTCAAGTGATTGAGAGTTATCTTTGAACATATACTATCATGTACTTACCCTAAAGTAATGAAAAAAATATAAGTTTAAGTTGTTTGAATTTTAAAATTGTGTCAATTTAGATTTTTTTTAATTTAAATTATTTTAGATTTGAGTTGTTTTGAATTTAAATTATTTACGTTTCAATTTTAATATTTTAATATGAGATATTATAGAATTTGATTATTTTAAATTTAGATTATTGAAATTGAAGTTGATTTTAAAATTTGAGCATAAGCTAAATTTTAGACTTTTAGATTAAAATGTCGGAATTAAAAAAATATTTAGATTCAAACCAAAAATCCATCCTTTAGAATTTGTCTAAAATGACTGGTTTTACCCCTCGTATACATATATTATAAGCAAAGCAAATTAATCCCGTCAGGTGGAGGAATACTCTCATGATCATTCTTGCATTTCTGAATCCATCCAGTGTTTTGATCATTCTTTTTCAGAATTAACGTGACATAATAATGGCTGAAATAATACCATCATAAAACTCGCCTTTAAGCAGACCTCAAAACTTGTTGGAAAAATCTAGGCCCAAAACCCATCAGCCGAACTGATAGCATCATCCTCGGAAAAGAGAGCAACGAGCGCTCCGTTAACACCCGGGTTTAGTTTCTTGAATTGAACACCAACACTCTTAATGCCTCATTATAGCTTCCTCGGAAATGTTTAACAAAAATCTTTGACATTAGATTCGGATCTTTAATCACATCATTTCCTACTCGAATGTACGAGATAAAATTGGAACGACCTCTAATAGAAGCAGTTACATGAAAAAAGCTAGTGTTCTTGTCGCATTCCTGAAACCACTTCAATCTCGAGCCATTTCCTTTCTTCCCTTTTGTACCTCGTCCATAGTGTTTTTCAATGATTGTATCTCTGTCATGACGCTACTACTATGACTATGCAGTGATGATATTTTTTTAAATTATATTAAAATTAATAGACTTTTATATAATTTTATTAATTTTATAGCAACATTGTCTGAGAATACAGTCAATCGACAATATAAAAGGAGTAAACGACATTCACGTTATCTAAAGCCAGAATCAGAAACAGCCTTATATACAATGAGTATAATTTCATAGCCTTATGTACTTTTTTAATACACTCTAAACTCTTTATATTATATTTTTTAACATTTTAAATTATTTAAATCTTTTATCATCCTCATAAATATTTTTGTTTAAACTTAGATTATCGAATGAATCATTCAATGAGATTCTTAGGTAAAGTTAAAAACTTAAATTTTAATATTATAAATAAAATAAATTAGATAGAAAAACTATTATTATTATAATTAATTAAAGAAACACTTCAGCTCAACGTGTCTGGTTTGTTTTGGTTGCTTTTGTTGTATTGGAATTGGGTTTGTAAACAGAAACAGAGCGACCGTACGCGTGGCCTGGGGGCTGTCTTTTTAGGGGGTTTAATAAGGGGGATGGGAACAAAACCAACTCCCCGACATTTGTGAACCGATTCGTGGCTTCATCCTCTTGTCTTCCCATTTTTTTTGGGCCTCGAGATTCGTTTTTTATTCGGGTTTTCTATTAATCTACAGTGCTATAGTACATACAAATAATAATATTTATTTTAAAGATTTTTAATTATTTAATAATAAATATTTAAATATTTTAAAATAGTAATGATTAGTTTGTTTTCACTATGCAACCTCTTCAAATCTTTTATGTCTGCGTCGCACATACCACACGCAGATATTAAGTTTCGCAGACCGTTTGTTTTTTAGAAGTCAGAAGCTCTTTTAACGTCTGCGCGAGCTCTTCTTAGTGCAGATATGGTTTTATGTCTTCAAAGGTCTTCAAACCTCTTTAAGAACAATTATAAAATATGGTTATTTATTAAAATAATTTTAAATAATTTAATAAGGTTATTTATTTTAAAATAATTTGTTCTAAGATAATTTATTATAAAATAATTTATTTTCAAATAATTTATTATAAAATAATTTATTTTTAAAATAATTTATTATAAAATATAGATTGATTTATTTTAAAATAATTTATTTTAATTAATTTATTAGTATAGATTGATTTATTTTAAAATATGGATTAATTTATTTTAAATAATTTATTAGTATGAATTGATTTATTTTAAAATATGGATTGATTTATTTTAAATAATTTATTAGTATAGTTTGATTTATTTTAAAATATAGATTGATTTATTATTGTAGTTGCATCGATTGATTTATTTTAAATAATTTATTAGTATGGATTGATTTATTTTAAATAATTTATTAGTATGTATTAATTTATTTTAAAATATGGATTGATTTATTATTGTAGTTATATGGATTGATTTATTTTAAATAATTTATTAGTATCGATTGATTTATTTTAAATAATTTATTAGTATAGATTGATTTATTTTAAAATATGGATTGATTTATTTAAAATAATTTATTAGTATGAATTGATTTATTTTAAAATATGGATTGATTTATTTTAAATAATTTATTTGTATGGATTGATTTATTTTAAAATATGGATTGATTTATTTTAAATAATTTATTAGTATGAATTGATTTATTTTAAAATATGAATTGATTTATTTTAAATAATTTATTATTATAGATTGATTTATTTTAAAATATTGATTGATTTATTATTGTAGTTGTATGGATTGATTTATTTTAAATAATTTATTAGTATGCATTAATTTATTTTAAAATATTGATTGATTTATTTTAAATAATTTATTATTATGGATTGATTTATTTTAAAATATGGATTGATTTATTTTAAATAATTTATTAGTATGAATTTATTTATTTTAAAATATGAATTGATTTATTTTAAATAATTTATTAGTATAGATTGATTTATTTTAAATAATTTATGAGTATAGATTGATTTATTTTAAAATATGGATTGATTTATTATTGTAGTTGTATGGATTGATTTATTTTAAATAATTTATTAGTTTGGATTGATTTATTTTAAAATATGAATTGATTTATTTTAAATAATTTATTAGTATTGATTGATTTATTTTAAAATATAGATTGATTTATTATTGTAGTTGTATGGATTGATTTATTTTAAATAATTTATTAGTATGGAATGATTTATTTTAAAATATGGATTGATTTATTTTAAATAATTTATTATTGTAGTTGTATGGATTATTTAAATTTTAGTATTGTAAAACTAAAATTATTTAAATCTCAGTATTGCAAAACTCTTTTAAGTTTAAAAAATCAGTTTATTTATATTTCAGTTCATTTTAGCAGTCTGCAGACGTTAAAAAACAAACAGTATTCTTCTTGCAGAATGCAGACTTTTGGTCCGCTTCTTCTGCTGCAGATGCCTGCAGATGTGGTCCGCAGACTGCATACATTTTACCTTTGTAAAAATAAACACCACCTAAGTGATTGTTATCGGAATTTCAAGATTTTCCATTGTATTCATTTATTTATTATCAATAATTATTTTATTATAACAAAAAATAAATTGTATATTTGGAATTATATGAAATGAATGTTGCATTTTTTTGTCATTTAGTTAATCAGCATCTCTAATTCATCTTATGATTTTATTCTCTCGCTGTAACTGATAGATGAGTTGTGAAATGCGGACTAAACGGTTAATATAAGTCGTTACCGGAAACATAATAAGATACTTAACAAAGTCGGTTAACGTTATCGGAAATGTTGAGTAATAATAATATTATAGGTAGAAATCATGAAGAAATATTAAAAAATTTGACAACCGACAA